TGTGCCCTTTACCCGGGCCGTGTGCCCTATCCCCGGGCTGTGTGCCCCGCTGCCGCCAGTTGAGGGACGGGGCGTAGTGCGGCTGCGCGGACTCGGACCGTTAGGTGTCGCCCGGAGCGCGGAGGGAAAACGGACTGGAGGCGGAGGCGGCGGGGAGCGGGAGAGGGAGAGAGATTGAGATTACCCCATCGTTGCCGCTGTGAGGCCGGCCTGCAGCGTCTCCCCCGCTCGCTATGGGGAACCGCGGCATGGAGGACCTGATCCCGCTGGTGAACCGCCTTCAGGACGCCTTCTCCGCCATCGGCCAGAGCTGCAACCTGGACCTGCCCCAGATCGCGGTGGTGGGCGGCCAGAGCGCCGGCAAGAGCTCGGTCCTGGAGAGCTTCGTGGGCAGGTACAGGTCACCCGCTCCTCACCCTGCCCCCGGGGGGTGGTTGGGCTGTGTGCCACGACGGGTGACGGTCAGCATCTGGAGCCGGCAGGTGCCTGTGGGATCTTGCTGTGCGCCGTCGGAGTGGCCCTACTGCTCTGTTTGACACCTGCCAGCAGCGGCTGCTCCTTACAGTTACACTCCTAAAATCGTCCAGAAAGATGTGCATTCAGAGGGCCTGTTGGGGGCAAGTTATTTGAACTGACCACTGCTTTTAACTGACTTCAAATTAACTCAGGATTTTTATGGTTTGTTTTTATTTTCTTGGACGTGCATCTATTCTCCAGTATGTGTCCAATTCGAGCTGTCTCTCTAGGCATGCCTTCATACTTTCCCGATTGAGCATTTTGTTTTTTCAAACATCTCCGTGCTGTCTGAGATGCTACTTTGAATGTTTACTTTGTGAATTGTACTTGATCAGCGTGTAACTGCTCAAAAAATCAAAGCTTGCAAAATTTTCTGGTTATGCTGATCTTTGTGCAGTCCAGATAGTGAGTCAGTTTGGCAAAACAGTTTGCAGATGTTAAGGTTTGAGCATGGAGCTGTAGGGAAGAAGGTTATCATGTTGCTAAAATTGTAATCCCTGGTGGTTGGGCTTTATTGAGTTGGTAGGAGAGATTCGTTCTGACAGTATCCAGGAAATGGGGTTCTGTTTAGGAAGAGAGTGATTCTTTTCATGAACTTGTTGCGACTCAGAAGAGTTCACAATTATTCAGGTTTTTCTTGAGATACACACCATCTGTTTCCTCTGTTAAAGCAGTAATAAGATGCTGTGAGGTTATCAAAAGAACTAAGGGAGAGATTAGGATTGTTTTTATTTCAAAAGGTCATTACTTAATGCTTAACTAGAAACAATGGTGGGAACAGAATCGAATATACCTGTTGAAACAGAAAATGAGAAATATTTGAAGAAAAATTAAGTTGTTTTCAGAAAAGCTTTAAGTTGCTCTAAGAAAGTTGTTAGCACTTGGGGAGTCAGTGCAAGCTGGATGAACCAAATGATCTGTTGTGTTGTACAATTAAACAGTTTAAAATTGAACTGCAATCTAGTTGAACTGTTTTCAACTTCTTAATGTCTTCAAAAGGTGCAAAAATGGTTTTAATTTTCATCATCGTCCTTGCATTGGGATTTATACTGTAAATTATCATTTAATACACTTCTCAAAATCATCTTCATTTTTGTGCTATGTGATTTTTCCAGAAATTAGTAGCACAGTAAGGAGCTATCAAACTGCTAGTTGGAAAATGAATAAACTGAAATTATTGCTTCTTAAATTGCATTTCTATATTTTTCTGTTGCAGTTGGTGGTTTGATTTTGTTGTGCAAAATTACATAGCTTTCGAATCATTTCAACAGTATTGTCACTCAAAGCTGACAAATGAACACTATAATCTGTGATTATTTTACCTTGAGCACATTTTTGTTTTTACTACCCTGTACAATTATAGCTCTGCAGCCTATGTTCGTGTAGGACATACATAGTTGTATGCATTTCTTATTGTCTACCCTTTTCACTATTAAATGATAATTGATTTATAGTTGAGCTCATGATGTCCTCAAAGCAACAGTAGGATTGTGTAGGGTTTGCTGATCACTAACCACATACAAACTGAATTACATTCAGGTAGACTACATTAATTTGGTGAATATTAACATTTTATGTGCATTCCATGAGAGAGTGAGGAGTATGTGCTAATCCTCGTCTTGTTTATCGGTTCCATTTAGCACTTTGTTACCAGCATAGCACAGTTTTAAACTCATCCTGTCCTTGACCGTTGTATAATTTTGATTATTCACTAGATTTTTACATGGTGCTCAAAATGCTACACCTCTAGCAAAGCTGTGCACTCGCCTGTTTTCAGAAGTTCAATACACCTTTTGCTATCTTTGTCAATTTCCAGTTCAATATTTGGGAACAATTTTACTTCGATATTTTATTGTTTGTGATTTGGCTGTTGTGGCTGTAGCATCATGATATAATGCACATTTCTGAAAATAGTTATCCATTTACACACAACAAGCAGCAAGATAATGAAGTAGAGATGACAGAACAGTCGGATTCAGTCAAGTGGGAGATGTCTTCAAGATCAGTCGGTAATTGGGAAGGCAGAATTCCCTTTGAAAAAAAAAGGAAGTCTTACTAAAACAGTATAAGGTGCGAGTTAGACCACATCTCGAATACTGTGAACAGTTTAGGTCCTCTTATCTAAGAAAAGATTTACAGGCATTTGGGGCAGTACACAGAAGGCTCTGTAGGTTGATCCTGGCTATAGAGAGATATTCCTATGAAGAGAGGTTGAGTAGGTTGGGCCTGTACTCGGAATTTAAAAGAATAAAAGGCAACCTTATTGAAACGTACAAGATTCTTAGGGGACTTGATAGGGTAAATGTTGGGAGGTCTAGGATCACAGAGCATTATCTCAGAGTAAAGGGTCACCCATCTAAGACAGAGATGGGGAGGAGGAGTTTCTTTTGAGGGAGGTGAATGTGTGGAATTCCTTATCATAGAGATTGTAGAGGCTGGGTTGTTAAATATATTCAAGCCTGAGATATACAGATTATTTTTATCAGTAAGGAAATCAAGGGTTTTGAGGAAAAGGCAGGAAAGTGGAGTTGAGGGTTATCAGATCAGTCATGAGCTCTTTGAATGGTGGAGCAGACTGGATGGACTGTATAGCCGAGTTCTTCTCCTTCATCTTAAGGTCTTATGCGTCCTCAGCATTGACTACTGACCTCCATGAAGTCTCACAGCATCAGGTCAAACACAGGCAAGGAGGACACCTACTGATTACTACGTACTCCAGTGCCAGCCCTCTCCTCCTCTGATGATGAGTCAATCCTCCTCCATGTTGGACACCACTTGGAGGAAGCATAGAGGATGAAAAAGGTCAGGATGTCCTTCACCAATATTTGCACGACAGCACCACTACTGACCAAGCTGAATGAATCGCAAAGGACAGAGCTTCTGCTAGGTCTATGGCAGGGTCTGAGGGGGTCAGCAAGAGAGAAAGTTATAGTTGGCCCCATCCTCAACAATTTGCCTTCTGCAGTTACAACTGTCCCGGACAGTGTTGGTATACGTGACCACTAGAACAGCCCTTGTGAAGATGCAGTCCTATCTTCACATTGAGGATACTCTCTATCGTGCTGTGTGACACTATGAATGTTCTACTCCTCAGGGTAGTATCCTAAACCCGATCATCATCAGTTGCTTCATCACTGACCAGACCCAAGCTCTGCAGTCCTGCCACACCCAGCTGTGAATGGCGCTGGACAACTAAACAGCTCACTGGAGGAGGAGGCTCCACAAATACCCCCAACCTCACTGATGGTGAGCCCAACACATTAGTGCAAAAGATAAGGCTGAAGCATTTGTAGCAATCTTCATCCAGAAGTTCCAAGTAGATGATCCATCTTAGCATCCTCCAGAGGTTCCCAGGATCACAGATGGCCAACTTCAGCGAGTTTAGTTCACTCCAGGAGTATCAAAAAACAGTTGGAGGCACTGGAATTTGAAAAGGCTATAGGCCATGACAACATTCTGGCAATAGTACTAAAGACTGGAGTATCGTGTGCTCCAGAACTTGCTACATTCGTAGCCGAACTGTTTCGTTACAGTTACAACATTGGCACCTACCTGACAATGGAAAATTGCTCAAGTACATCTTGTCCACAAAAAGCAGGACAAATACAACTCAGCTAATTACTGCCTCATCATTCTGCTCTAAGGTGTCGTCAACAGTGCTATCAAGCAGCACTTGTTTAGCAATAACCTGGTCAGTTTGGAGGGTTCTGCTAGAGCAGCTCAGTTTCTGACCTCATTGTAGTTTTGGTTGAAACATGGATAAAAGAGCTGAATTCCAGAGGTGAGGTGAGAGTGACTGCCCTTGACGTTAAGGTGGCAGTGTGGCATCGAACCCTAGCAAAATTGAAGTCATTGGGAATCAGGGAGAAAACTCTCTGCTGGTTGGAGTCATACCTGGCACGAGGGAAAATGGGTGTGATTTTTGGAGGGCAGTCACCTCAGCACCAGGATGTGTCTGCAGAAATTCCTCCGGGTAGTATCTTAAACCCGATCACCCTCAGCTGCTTCATCACTGATATTTTCTCCATTTAAAGTCAGAAGTGTAGATGTTCGATTGCACAATGTTCAGCACCGTTCGCAACTCCTCAGATACTGAAACACTCCAGGTCCAGATGCACCAAATCTGGTTTGGGCTGACAAATGGCATGTAACATTCTTGCTGCACAAGTGCCTGGCAATGACCGTCTCCACCAAGAGAGAATTTAACCATCACTCCTTGTCATTTGGGGTATTACCACCCCACTATCAACGTCAAGTGGGTTACCATTGACCAAAACTGAACTGGACAAACCACATAAATACTATGGCTGCGAGAGCAGGTCAGAAGCTAAGGATCCTGCAGTGAGTAACTCACCTCATGACTCGCCAAAGCTTGTCTTCCCATCTATTGGGTTGGGGTGTGAAGTTCTAGGTTTTCACTTTGCTTTGTGTGAAAATGTACTTTCTGAAGTTGGATGTGTTTTCCATTTTGACAAGGACAACATTGAATGAAAGAGTGTAGGTTGGATGCAGTTCAGATTGGTGTTTGTAGTGAACAGCTCCCATTTTGTTAATTGGGTATTGAAGAAGCATATGCGCCAACTTTTAAGTTTTCGATTTAGCTGTCTAGGGCAAGTGAAAGGAACACCTATTTGGTTTATATTCATTTGTGCAGTTTGATGATTGCCTGGTAGCACCTTAGACACAAATTTCTGATATTTACATTTATTAATATCATTGACCAAGACACATGCAAGACAGTGTTGGTTAGCAATAGGAATCGATCATTCAAGTCCTCGGCTCTGTTCCACCATTCAGGTATATCTTAGCTTGCCTCCACCTTAATTCCATTTTCCTGCCGTTGCTCCATATCCTGAACAGGTTATTTCTGTATTTCCT